AGTTGTTAGGCCTTGTCCATGGGCCACATTTTTAAATCTCTGGTGCCACTGAAGTAGGAACAGCGTGTAAATCTTGACTAACATTTAACAGAATATTATCTAGTGGTCCCCAACCCTGACTGTATGTAAGAATCTCTAGAGGACTTTCCAAGAATGGAGTGGTGTCCAGACATGATGTTTAAGACGTCCAGGTCATTAAACATACACGATCATTCAAATGCCTTTTATTCCCCTGCAGACCCTAATAAGATGCAGCAATGGTGATGCCTGACTGTAGGAACTAACCTGAAGGAGGTTTTAGATACACATCTACATACATTCAACAAAACGCCAAAGCTGAAGTTAACATTTTAAAATATCTGTTCAGGAAAAAAAAATTATCTGATTAGAGAAGCTCAAATGTAATTCCCAGATCACTTAAAAAAAATATTCACTATGCTGTTAGGTATAATATTTTATCAAGTGGATTATAGGCATAAAACTGGCTTTTAGAGTTTAGAAGAAAAGGATATGGGATGATAAAATCCTGCTTATAGTTATGTTTGGGTTTTCACATGCACACTGGTTTTTATGAATTGTGTATAGTTATGCAATTATTTAACATTTAAAACACTTAAGCTTTAATGTGGACTTTCTTAAGGGATGTTATATAATCCTCTGGAAAATGAAATTGCTGTCCTCTTTGACCAAAATCCAGTGTTCACGTGTAATCTTCATGCCTCTGAAAAGATTACTGTTTTTTTTTGTTTGTTTGTTTGATAATATGAATATGTAAGTGTTTGATCTTTTCATTCCAGGGACAGCAGTGGCAAAAAATCAGCTACAGTCTCTATTCTCAGGTGAAATCTTGAGGGGCTTTTATTTTAAAACAATTAGTTGACAATTGCGTGAATATCCATCATTGTTGCATCAAGAATTGACGAGTTAGTAACCAAGGACAAAAGTTTAGTATGGAATCTTTCCTCTTTTTACAGAAACTTACCTTCCTGATGTGCTTAAAACATACAGCCTTTCTTTGTTATTTCTAGTATTCTGACCCCTTCGAGGCTATTCTTTGGGGAGCAAAATCTACATCTCCTCTCACCTCCTCTAATACATGTCATTTTTCCCTTTAATTTCCAGCTGCTCTGACTATTTCTCATTTGGCATTTGCCTTTGTTTCTCCTCGTCCTTCACTTCTTCTCCTGGCTGTCTGCTGTGCTTTTGTCCCCTCCTTACAGCTACACGTTTAGGGAGACAAACCTCTGAACCAAGCACTTCAGTTTTCCACTTCCTAGAAGTAAAGAAATGAATTCCTGGCCAGACACAGTGGCTAATACCTGTCATCCCAGCACTCTGGAAGGCGAGGCAAGTAGGATTGCTTGAGTTTAGGGAGTTTCAGACCAGCCTGGGCAAGAGTGAGACCCCGTCTCTAATAGAAAAATTAGATAGATGTTGTGGTAGGTGCCCTCCAGCTACTCGGGAGGCTGAGGCAAGGGGATCAGTTGAGCTCAAGAGTTTGAGGTTGCTGTGAGCTATGATGTCACGGCACTCTACCCATCCTAGTGATGATTTCAGGACCAACCCTTTCGAGTTTTTCTCTTCTCTAAAAGAAGGAACAAGAGTTGCCCTGGCTGTTTTAAAGCCATGTATTGCTGGTTTTATGCACAGCCTGAAGCTGTATGTGGATGGCTTTACCTGCCCACTGTGTAAGAGATGGTGTGGCTACCAAGGATAAGACAGTGTGTACACACTATAAACAGTGAATGGTATGAATAAGGGTTTTGTTCTCTTCTCGCTGATGAAGCATTATTTTTTTTAACATGCTAAACCACATTTTAGTTGCTATATATGAAAAAGAAACCAGCCTTGCCTCTGTGATTTTTTATACTTAAAATTCATGCGTAATTTGTAGATGGTTCCACATAAAAGATGCCCTTGGTCCAGAGGTTTGCTTTATCCTTCCTTATTTTTATGAGCACTTTCTGTATTTTAGTTTGCAAAAGCTGTATGATTCTCAAGTGGCTCTTAATATTTGGTCATCACAGCTATCTAGTCTGTACAACAAAATTATAAGAAGGACACTCCTCTCTTGTTACAAAACCACCTAGGGGGGTAAATATTTTCCTCAGTTAGGGATTAAACAGATACCGACGATAGGGAAACTCTTATTCATAATTTAAAGAAGTCTAAGCTGTTTGCAGAGTTTGATGAGCTTTGGTGCCTCAGAAGCAGTCTCCTTACAAATTTGTTGCACATTTACCAGCTCCTATATTCTCAGTCTGCCAAAATCTCCTTTCGTTTACATTGTGGAGTCTTACTCTCTTACCCAGACTAGCATGTCAAGGTATCAGCCTAGCTCACCACAACCTCAAATTCCTGGTTTCAAACTATCCTCCTGCCTCAGCCTCCTGAGTAGCTGGGACTACGGGTATCCGCCACAACACCCAGATAATTTTTCTATTTTTAGTAGAGATGGGGTCTTGTTCTTGCTCAGGCTGGTCTCTAACTCCTGAACTCTAGGGATCCACCCACCTCAGCCTCCCAGAGTGCAAGGTTTACAGATACGAGCCACTGGGTCTGGCCCATCAGAGAGTGTTTCTACAATGAATCACTCCTTAGTTCTTGGCTTGTGAACATGTACAGGAACTTTGCCTCTAAGCAGAAAGTCAGGAGAAGAAAAGATTGTGGCGGAAATAATCACTCATTTGCAAAATAAGAATTTATGTGTGTCTAATACAGTAAAAAGAGATACTAATCAAGTGTATATTTAAAGTAAAACAAACCGGTATTGTTTAATAATATGTGCTCAATGGTGTGTGTTTAATGGCAGACTAATTGGTATCTTTTGCCTTTGCCTAAATAAAGAATTTGTATGTAGGTATAACATACTAATGAGAAACATCTTACATTGTTCTACAGAGAAATTAAATGATAATGCTGAGAGTAAACTGAACTATTATTCTAGTAAAGAATGTATAATGCTAATAGCTTTTTATAACAATAGTTCACTTTATGGTTTTTAGTCCGTTCTTTCATTCTTTAATGCTTTGGGGAAGATTAAAACACTTAATTCTCAATTTTACACATAAAGTGAAAATCCTGTCATATAGAATTTAAAGCAGTAGATTGTTTTAGACATAAAAAATTCTTTTCTAGCTGGTATGTTTTTGTAGGTAAGTAACCGTGTTAGCTAAAAAGAAGAAAAAACACCTAAAACACCAACTCATTTCTCTTTTTAGTAGATCTGTTTCCATTGTTGACTTACTTTCTTTTTTTCCTCATTGTTGCTGAGTAAAATGGCCTTGCAGTACTGCCTATTATATGTTTTGAATGGAACTGTAATTTATATTCTATTAAAAAAGGCTTTACAAAACATGTTTTGTTCCTTTAAATATATGCTGGAGTTTGGGGAGGAATACAAAATCCAAATCTTTTATTAAATGAGGAACAAAATGAACCTATTTAATATAATTTTAAGCATTCATTGTTCTAAAGGTGAAACAAGTTTTTGGTCTTCATATAATAGAACAATAATGTCTGTGTTAGCCTGGTCAAATCAGATGAAACCAGAATATTGTAGTCTAATTCTCTCTGTTGAGGTGACACTGACACCCATTAATAGTACACTTGGGCCATTTTAGGAGCTTGAAAGTTGACATTCAATAAATATGTGTTGAACTTATAAATAAATAGATATATAGAGAGATTTATATTTGTGCATCATAATAACACGTGGATCACATTAGTCTGGATAAAATCTTACTGTCTTCATCAAAGTCACTCAATAAAACTTAAAAGACTGCAAATGAGCTTGGACAAAATTATCATTATTTTACTTTTTTAAATTTTTTTATTTTTTATTTAGTCATAGCTTAATAATACTGTCATGGGGTACAGTGGGTTGTTTCTATATACAATTTGGAATACTTTCATCCAACTGGTTAACATAGCTTTCATGTCATTTTCTTAGTTGTTGTGTTAAGACATTTATATTCTACATTTAGAGAGATTCACATGTACCCTTATAGGATAAATCATAGACGTGATTCCACCAATCACCCTCCCTCCACCCATTTCTCCCCTCCCCTCCCTTTCCTCTTTCCCCTTTCCCATATTCTTGGGCTAAAATTGGGTTATAGTTTTCCTATGATAGCTATAAATTAGTTTCATAATAGGATTGAATACACTGGATACTTTTTCTTCCATTCTTGAGATATTTTGCTAAGAAGAATATTTTCCAGCTCCATCCATGTAAACATGAAGGAGGTAAAGTCTCCATCTTTTTATGGCTGCATAGTATTCCATGGTGTACATATACCATACTTTGTTAATCCATTCATGGGCATTTGGGCTGTTTCCATGTCTTGGCTATTATGAATTGGGCTACAATAAACATTCTGGTGCAGATATCTTTGTTGTAAAATAATTTTTGATCATCTGGATATATACCTAGTAGAGGAATTACAGGATCGAACAGTAGGTCTACATTTAGTTCCTTGAGTGTTTTCCAAACTACTTTCCAAAAAGGTCATATTAGCTTGCATTCCTACCAACAGTGTAGAAGTGTTCCCTTCTCTCTGCATCTACACCAACATCTGTAGTTTGGAGATTCTGTGATGTGGACTAATCTTACTGGAGTTAGATTATATCTCAAAGTGGTTTTGATTTGCATTTCTCCGATGATTAATGAAAAATTTCTGTAGATTCCTGTGGTCTTCTTTCTCCTCCACAGAGCTTGGATTTTACTGTATTTTACTGTATTTTTCACTATATTTCAACAATTGTCTCTCTCTCCTATAGAATGGGAATGCCTTCATGGTAGAAACCTCGTCTTACTCAGTTTTGGACTTTTATGCCCTCAGATTTAGTCACAGTGACTATCACAGAGCAATCCTTCAAATATTTGGAGGATAAATTAATGATTCCTGACAGTAAGAGAAAAATTAATAAACATTCAAGTGATAAATCACCCACCCACTGAACAAAGATAAACACATGTTCCATTTTTCTCCCCACAGTCTCCAAACGTCCACAACTATCCCGATATGGAAGCTGTTCCCCTGTTGCTAAATAATGTGAAAGGGGAGCCCCCGGAGGACTCGTTATCTGTAGATCACTTCCAAACACAAACTGAGCCAGTGGACTTGTCAATAAACAAAGCCAGGACATCCCCGACCGCCGTTTCATCCTCCCCAGTTTCCATGACAGCGTCTGCCTCCTCGCCGTCTTCAACTTCAACCTCTTCATCGTCCTCTAGTCGTCCAGCCTCATCCCCGACTGTTATCACATCCGTCTCTTCAGCCTCATCTTCGTCAACAGTATTAACTCCAGGGCCCCTCGTTGCCTCTGCATCTGGTGTGGGAGGCCAGCAGTTTTTGCACATTATCCATCCTGTACCACCTTCAAGTCCCATGAATTTACAGTCTAACAAACTGAGTCACGTTCACCGCATCCCCGTGGTGGTGCAGTCCGTGCCTGTTGTCTACACAGCTGTAAGGTCACCTGGAAATGTGAACAACACTATCGTCGTGCCACTTTTGGAGGATGGGAGAGGCCATGGCAAAGGTAAGAGACACAGACAAAGCCTTGATTAATTTCAGCGCTGGATGTGGTGTCCTTTTTTGCTGTGGACAGGCCCTAGATTGCATCCAAACCTGATATCTAAAGAAGCTCTGTGCAGAGCAGCACGGAAACGCCAACTCATCAGCCATGGGGTGCAGTTTAGAAGGACCAGTCCCACGTTTATGTGGGTCTGTGCTCCAGGTTCATTTAGTCTATGTTTTTAATTATTGTAGAGTTAGAGATCTAAATTTGGGAAATAATGCTTTCCTTTAAATTCTCACCTTTAAGGAAGGGTGAGAGCAGTCTATAGTTAGTATAATTGCTTATAAAGTATAAATGCTTTAAAAAGTGTTTCTTCTTTTAGTTCAACTGGGATTTATTTGTATGGTAATAATATAAAGTGTCATGAAGTTGCAATGCCTAGATTCTGATCATTTACTTTTGAGTAACTTGGATATTTAGTTACCATTAAAATAATTCTAAACTTAGGTGTTTGGCTACGGAATATCATGTAGCTTGGATTATTCACTTCTTCCATGACTTATTGTAATGGAAATATTTAAAAATGCAATATTAATATTCCCTTTTAGGGATTAGAAGGCAGGATGTTATGTTGCCTCATGACCATGTAATGTATAATTGAATTTGATAGTTATGCAAGTGGATCATGAAGTTATTTTCTTCTCCTAAATTCTTATTTTTTCCCCCAATTTTTACAAGAAGGGATTGTGGTAACTATCTATTCTTGCTTTCTCTCCCATGAATCTAAAAAATAACCTATCCATCTATACAAATGTAAAATGCCCATGATCATTGACTCATTCCCTTTTAAATGAATACATACATATATATTTTGTCTTCAGAGCCTAGAAACCATCTTGGATTAAGACTTGGGTTACTTTTTGCTTTGAGACTGTATTACTACTGAGTCCTACAATTAAAATATGATTGAATACATAAAACACTGCCTTCTCACAAAATGCTAGCAAACATGGTGTTTTAGTTCTTACATAAGTTCAGATTTAATACATAGAAGTAACATTTGATTGTGAATTTAGAGAAATTTTTGGCAAACATATGGTACAAAATTGTGCATTCACCATTGGCAAGTTATTGTTTTATCTGCAGTAAGTTTCTTGGTAGCACATGGCATAAATTTCACCTTGCCAGCTTCATCAAGTTAAAATCTTATGATGCAGGGCATGAGGAAGTTCAGCTACAAGGCAGGCACTTGTTGCTTACTGAGCAGCCTTTCTCTTTGGAGCTACTCCGGGCTGCGAACTAGCCCTGCCACCCACTAGTGAAAAGGTAGAGGAAAAAGAGAAGTTAGGGAGGCTTCTAAGGGATTTTTTCTTAGAGCTGGAACTTCTTTGATATTGCTCATACTTCTAATTGAAATGGATAAATGATTTGATAATAATCTAACTGAAGGCCAGATCAAGTATTTATTTTCCTTTATAATTTACAAATGTGATTATGCATCTTGTAAGATTTAGAATTTAGCAAATAGCGAAAAATGCCACCTTGCCTAGTAACTTATTTTATAGATGTGCATATGTATACATGACAGAATCGAATCTTTCTGCAATATTTCTTAGGAAAAATATCACCTTCTGAAGTTGACTAATACAGATTTAATGTTGCTCATGACCTTTTTTATATAATTTTAATTCACTAATGATGGAAACAACAGAGATATCCTTCATTAGCTATTATTTTATGGGAGAGGTTACTATTTTAAAACTGTAAGACATAGGGTATATTTTACAAAATTAAAGATTTAATTTTCTGGAAAATGAATCACTGCAGGAGAACTTTTAAGACTCATACTTCTAATTTGTTCTTTATGTGAGTATGGTTGTTAGTTTCATGTAGTGCATTTTTATTTAGTGTTTTTTTCTGATCATGAATAAAAAAATGTATTTAATCAGAAACATGCTAGACTGTGTCATGGTCATCTATACTTTTATCATTGCTAAAATGGGATAATGACATAGTTGTTCTAGATTATCAGGAAGATTAAGTAAGAACATAATGTGTAAATGTCTAGTATTGATCAAGTATCAATAAACGTTTGCAATTTGTCATTATCTCTTTGCCAAAATACCAGATGCAATCATATTCAAAATGTTTTCTCTTTCTTATAAAAACAGAAAGTTGAAGAGAAACTCCTTGTATCTTTAAAGGAAAAACTGCACTAAAGCGTTGGTATAGAAATGCTTCTCAAAGTTGTTACTACATATAAAAAATTAGATGAGAGTTTAGAATTGGGAAATTGTCGGAAACATACCACATTTTCTATTTTTCTTAGTTTTATATTAAGTTTTTATAATCGCCATAGTCTACAAGTATTGCTGTAGAGTTTTGTAAGTTTTTTTATTGCTTAATTGATTAATTAGGTAATAGTAAAAGTGTCGAGTGGAAGAGGCTTCCTACCTCACAGAATGAATAAAGAAAAGGGCATTTCATTAATTCCTCAGTTCTTTATTTTGCACATGTGCAGCTGGGCACTGGGCCAGCAGTGAAGTGGCATAGTGTGTCTGGGATGGATGAGCAAAGGAAAATACAAAAGGGGAGCTGGCTTTTCAAAATGGTAATGATGAAAATAGAAAATATAACACATAGGAATGTAGATGATTATGCTGGCTAGTCACTTTTAAAGTAGGCATAACTTACCTGGTCTCCGATCGAGAAACAGATTAGCACGTGTGTCACATGACACAAAAGGCTGTGAATGGTCTCATCCATCTCTAAGCTTTGTACCGTGTAAATTAAATCATTTTTCTATTCAAATGTTTATTGAGCATCTATCATTATCAGACATTTTATTGACACTAGCAATACAGTGTTGAGCGAAACAAATGCTATTTCTGTCTCATAACGCTTCTAGTCTCTTGGGAGATATTGACATTAAGCAAAAAAAGAAAAAAAAATCATGGAAACAATTAAATAGCTGATAATTGTAGACAGAGTTGAACTAAAAATAGACCAGCCAGGAATTTTCCCAGTGGAGCAGGTTTAATTATGATTGCAAATAGAGAATGTAGTATTTGATAAAAGTATTTTCACATAGGATGTGATGTATGGAAAGAAGGAATGTTTTTACTATGTTGCTCTGGGGATAGGATGGCTGAAACTTCCATAAGTGATGATTGGTTAGCAACAGAGTGATAGGAAAATGCTTCCTGATGAGGCTAGAGCTTCTATCCAACTACATAAATAATAGTGGTCTAAAGGAATGCCAAGTTGCCAGCTAGTCCAGAGCACCCGGATATCTCAGTGGGGCTGTGGAGGTAATAATATCTGCTATGAAGAAAAACGGAAGGATGTTCTGGAAGGTACAAGTAACAAACACCTAAAAGTTCTCTAAAGGAAGACATTTGTCCACTTGATACCACAAAGACAAGTAGCAATTTAGCCCACCCACAAGTGCAGTGCTATCCATGCAGGGGAGAGTTTTGTGACTGCTTAAAGGTATTGTTTGACCTCAAAAAGGAATTTCTGTCCAGCTGAGTTTATAATACATTTTCCAGAAGATTTTTGCTAGATTTTACAGAGATTTAGCAACAGAAAATCATAGAGGGTAATAAGAAGTCGCCAAGTTGTTCTTGGTTCGTTATTGCCTGAATGGAAGGGTAGGTGTGTTTAAGATCCCCCGCCCCTCCACGATGTAATGTGCATTTACTTTATGCCAAGCATAGGCCTAGGAATTAGGGGCTCTCTGATGAGCAAGTCCTTACTGTCATGAGCCTTACCATCTAGTGACAGAAACAATGTGTCAGATGGTGTAAGAGCAATGATGAGGGGTCAGGAAGTTAATAGGGCAGGGGCACAATTTCAGGTCTGGTCACAGAAGGCGTCTCTGGGAAGTGAAAAATGCTAATTATACCTGGGGAAGAGCTTTCCAGAGAGAACTACAGGTTTGCTGAGGGATGGTGAGTGGCCTGTGTGAGGAGGACCTGCAGGGAGCCTGGGCAGGGAGGGTGTGCTCAAGAACAGAGGGGGCGGACTGGCCCAGGGCAGACACTGCAGGGCCTCCAAGGCCATGGGGTGAACAGCAGGGCTGATAGGGTTGACTGCGGTGTGTCTGAATGTGAGGTTTGAGGAAAGGGGTGGGGGGAGGAAAGAGGAGTTAGAGGTCTGAGGCTGAGCTCTTCGGCATGTTGTGTTGCCTGAGACGGGCAGAGTGGCCTTGAGAAGGGAGTTCCCTTTCAGACATGTGAAGTTTGAACTGCCAACTCCACGTTTGCCTAGAAGTTGGGCAGGACAGCCTGGGGCACAGTGGAAAGAGGAGGCAGGTTTGGAAAAATAAATTTGGGAACCATTAGGGTAAAGGAGGTATTTAGTGCTGTGAACTTCCTAGGGTCATTTGGGCGAGGGCCACACGGACAAGGAGAGGCGTGACACTGCGAGCACCTCAGCATTTCCAAGTTTGAAAGAGAAGAGGACTGCAGTGATCATTATTGAGACCCATCCACCCCTGAGGGACATGGAAGAATGTTGCAGAGAAGGCAGGCAGACAGAGTTTCAGAGAGGGAGTCATCAGTCACGTCAAGTGGTGCTTGGGGACCAAATTAAATGAGGGCTGAGAATTGTGGATTTGGCGAGACATTCATTGGTGACATTGACAAGCAGTGTGTCACTGGGATTGTGGGGACGAAAGACTGACTGAAGTTAAGTTCCTGTTCAGATGCGAGGTGAGGAAGGGGAGATCGAAAATCTAGATAGCCCTTTGGAGTGGTTTGCTCTAAAGAGTTGCAAGGAAAGGGCATGAGAGGTGAGGCACTGAGACTCTCAAGGGGCGTCTTAAAAGAGGGAGCTAGTGTAGGGTACCTCTGTGGTGTAGGATGTTGGTAAGAACCATCCTAGATCATTACCTTCTGCTTTTCACATTTCCTTTCAATTTCCATTAAGTATCTCATGCCTAACAATTTTGTCAACGTAATAAATTGACTTTAGAATTTAGATTAATTACAGTCAGATGCAGGTTATGTCTACAGCAT